CTGACTTGAAATCATTCCAATGTCAGGATATTGTCGTCAAAGCCTACATTTCTGCCTCCGGTGATCTCGTCGAAGCAAGTGTACTTAGCATATAACTATGAAGGTTGAAGGGGGACAGAAATGAATACCTTGTGTTCGCAGCGCCGAATCTTGTTTTCGCGGTAGTCTACAGCTTATCTCACTTAATACATCCAATTTGTTTGCATGTCAGAGAACATCTAAACTCACCGCTGTGCACAATGCTCAGGCGGATAAGTGCACAAAAATGTTCTCAAGCCGCATTTCGTCCGCATCAAAACTCGCGCGTGGGCCCGGGACTCGTTTTCGCACGGTGCTTATCATAGAATTCCCTATTTGAGCGATTATTATATCTAAATACGAAAATTCTGTGATGAACACTAAAGCACTAATGCGCCAAGGTGCACGATTGTGCACAGAAATGTCATACCTGGAGAAGTCAAAACTCCCATAACTCCAAGTTGTGTCTGCGTGGGCGTACAAAATTGAACAAATGTGCACTGACTTATAAGATCACGCACAACAGTGAGTTTAGATGCACGTAGATCATTTCACTAACATACAAATAAATCAGGCATATTACAGTGAAAATAAGTCGTCGACCGCTGCGAATACAAGATTCGGCACTGCGAAAACAAGATATTTGCTTTTGTCCGTAACCCAGTCACTGTAATATTCATATTCATAACCTTGATCACGCAGACCGCCGGTCGCGAGTGACCGCTTTAGAGCTTATATCCTTCAGCGAATCCACTGTGATCCCATCCCTGCTTCTCCTCTCCCTCGCGCATCCAGCGAAGTCTGTCCGCAGTGAGAACCGCCACCCTGGCAAACAGCGTTCCGTCGAGCACCTCCGCACCCTGCAGACCTGAGTGCGCAAGCGCTCCGGGATCCGTGTCGCCGTAGCACCCGGCAAAGTGCATGAGCGCACGCTGCATCTTGCACAGGTGCTCATCCGGATGTACGAGCGTCGTCTGGACGATCGGCAGCCACGGGTTCGGCGCCGTGGAGGGCTCAATGGTGTCCTTGGCCGCGGTGAGCGGGGCGTCGGGAGGCGACGGGTAGGGCGACGTGTTGGCGTAGAATTCCTTGACAGGGAGCGCGGGACGGCCGCGTGCCGTGTACCCAAGGATGGAGAAGGTAAAGTATGCACGGAGGAGAAGGACGGCAGAATCGAGGCCGAGGGTGTTGAGGAGAGACGCGATCATCAATGCAGACGTGACACTATGCATGCTGTGGATATATGCGGTCAGCAACTGTATCAAAGTCCGAAATGACACGGAGCACGGCTTACAGCAGGATGTCGGCGTTGAACTTGCCCTTCGAGTCCTCGCCTAGTGCCCTACCCTCCCATCCCCCGACGCCATAGACCACGGTGTTCATCCACACAAGCTCCTCGAACTTCCTCTTCAGGACATCTCGGTCCGGTATGACAGTCTTGGACCACTCGTCACAGTACTTGGAGAGCTTGCCGTCGGCTTGACTGAGAATGACGCCGTACACAGAGCCCAGATTGCGGCGATCAGGGAACGTAAAGTTATCTGGCGCAAAGTCCGTGTCCTTCTCTATGCGCGACAGGATGGTCAGGGCATGTACGTCCGCCGATGGGGCCTTCGAGCTGAGCCGGGAGGCAAGGGCGTCGACGGACCCTACATCGAAGAATTCCGGGGCGAATACATCTTCGATGTCGAGTGACTGTACTGCACACTTCGCCAGACCTGCGATACAATCTGGTCAGCCTACAAGACTTCGAAATGAGAGAATCATACTGCATACCTTCAGCAGACAGGCCAGGTAGACCGAACTCGGCTCCGTAGGCAATGTGGATCAGGGTGTGGAATAAGCTGGAATAGAATCGGCCAAGCATTTGCGGCTTGGCTCCATTCTTGCCCGCAACAAAGTTCGCGTCTGTCGAGAAGACGTAGTCTTCGAGAATGGCTGGGAAACCTTTGGTATCCTGCGATAGGAGGAGCTGGGAGAAGAATGCGACGTAAGCTTGATAATACCTGCATCAATGGAGACATCAGTCAGTGCTACATGGTAATATTAATGACATCGAAAACAAACAGTTCGTCTCCAAGGTGGTCCTTCCAGTTCTTCCCGTCGATTGTCGCCGCGCAGACTCGGTCCTTGGAAGGCCGCTGGTATGCGATATGGGTGTCATATGCTCCTCGTATCACTTCGGGACTCGCGCCCATGGCGTAGATTGCCAGAAGGTGATGTGACGCATGACTATATTTCAAGGCTGCTGTTAGTGAGGGCGGAAACAGAATGTAGATGGAGACATTACTTGTGAAAGCCCCAGTCGTTGAAGAATATGTGGAATCGCTGATGGTTGTCCTTGAGACAGTCGAGGACGGCCTGAGTAGTCTCGGGGGTCCTGCCGGGGTCGATTGTGGGGATGGGTGCAATGGAGGATGACACGATAGTCGGCTTGGGGAAGCGAATGTTGAGTTGCTCAGAGCTTGCGTCCATGTTAGCTGTGTGATTGTGGGGGTGTTCTGCTCAAGGAGTGTCAGGATTGACCGTACTCTTATACCCACGCGGAAAGGTTATCTTGACACGGTCACCTGCACTATCTGCAACACCATTTGTCGTTGTGGCTACATTGTGGCGAAGCCACACCACCCGTTTCCTCGCACCAAGCACTCCCGCAGGCTACCAGCCGCCTGCGGATGTGTCTTCGCATGGGTGTTCGGCGAATGTCCCCATAGTGAAACCTAGTGTAACCTATTCAGTTGGTGCACCGAGCACTCCCGCAGGCTGCCAGTCGCCTGCGGATGTGCCTTCGCATGCGCATTCGGCGAATGTCTCCATAACTTACGAAGCCCAGTGTGACCCACTCAGTTGATGCGCCAAGCACTACCGCCTGCTAGTCGCTTGCAGAAGTGCCTTCGCATGCGCGTTCGGCGAATGTCCCCGTACTGAAACCTAGTGTAAGCTGTTCAGCTGGTAAAGTGAACGCGCGGCACACAGATGTCCTGCGAAGCTCACTGGTAATCGTCGTAACTTGAACGTGCGTACGCAATGTCAATAACGGCATCCCGTGAGGCAACGGACGATAACCCACTTTCGTGCCGTAGTCGCACGCCTCCTTGTTCTGCAGCTAGAAAAAAGCAAAGTGAGTTAGCGTCACAGCGGCGCTGGCGACTTCTTGGGCGCTAGCACATGACGTTTTGCGTTCAGGCGAACGTGGGGCCGGACATAGCCTCCGGACATGAGCAAGGCAAGATTCGTAACAAGCAAGGTTTTGGCCGTATCAATTGCTCTCATACGACACATGTGAGCAGTTTTGGCCGTGTGCGCTGCTGGTTGGGTTGAACGCTCCGAGAGTCACAAGCGCTTTTGCAAAGGCTTTGTGGCGCTCGGAGGCTATTTCCTTTGTTTTTCACACCACGCCGGACGAACAGCACACACAGCACGCCAGCACCGTGCGCCGCTACGCTATATCTCAAGCTTCGAATGACCCCTTGAAGTCCCAAGCATCAATGCATCAACCCGAACTGTCGTGCTGGAGTACTGGAAGCCGTCTGTAGACGCCGGGCACAGTAACTCCGACTTGGAAGCGCCGCCGCAGTCCAACC